GTCAATGGCTGGTTACCCAATGGGGACAGAGAGTTGGGTGGAGCTTCCCGATTAAAACAAGCTTGGAAGGAGGAGTGGCATCCACTTCCATAATAGCTGCCTCCGGAAACCCTATGAACCTGGAGAGAGGATGAGAGACACCCAAGCATTGAGGACTCTCCCTCCTTCTTAGGGTCTCTATGAGTCGCCAGTGACTCAACGGCACTTTAACAACAACAACAAAATTTATCAAACATGCAGTCAAGATGCACTAATAATTACTGGTGACTGGAATGCAAAAGTTTGAAATAATGAGAAAATGTTAGAAAGAGGAGCTGGTAAATTTATTAATTCTTTTTCTTTTCATTTATCAACTTGTTAAATACAATTTTATCTTGAAAGATGTTGTTATTAGATGTTTTTGAATCAACAAAAATTCATAGCAACCCTATGAACAACACTACTGAAACTTGCTCTATCCTACTATCTGCACCTTCTCTGATATGCCCAACCCCAGTGTTAGTTACTGTGTCAATCCATCTTGTTGAGGGTCTTATCTTTCTATGAGCTTCCACCCTTCCAAAGAGATGATCGATCCCTCCTGACAGCAGACTGACATGAAATTTCACTGTCCTTGTCTCTAAGGAGCATTCTGGTTGTACTTCCTCCAAGACAGACTTGTTCTTTTTTGGCAGTACATGGGATATTCGGTATGTGATGAGATAATCTATTTAAAATAACTTCATAATTATTCTTAAGAAGAGAATATAAAGAAGAAATATTTATACTATATTATGTTTTCTACTATTGTTGTTGTTGTTGTTGTTGTTAAGTCCCGTTGAGTAGTAGATGACTCATAACGACCTTATGAACGAAAGATCTGAACACTTGTATAACTTTCATCCTTTCTCCATGTTCATAGTTTCTGGACGCAAGCTATTTCAGAAGTGGATGCCACTCCTGCTTCCAAGCTTGTTTTAATCAAGGAGTTCCACCAAACACTGTCCACCATGGGTACCCATCATCACGTTTGACACATCAGTGTCACAGTGTTTAGTGTATAGCAAATGGACAAACCAGTGCTATACCACTTAGAAGAATGTTTGACAAAAAACAGATTAAATCTGTTTTATGTTAAAATTTATGTTAAGTAGCACAACTCTAGTTGTGGCTCTAGAGTGTCAGGAAGTGTGAGGATGGTGCAGGAAAGGACAGGGTTTAGATCTGTTGTCCATAGGGTTGCCATGGGTTGCACTTGACTCAATGACACCTAACAATAATAGAAAACGTATGTTTCATGAAATTTTAACATTTTTCAAATCCAAATATAGTTGAAATTATTCATTGTCTTTAAGCAAAGCAGGTCTTTGTCATTAAATAATTCCCATTTTAAATTGAGTAGCACCAGATGCTTTGTTGTTGCTGCTATATATGTCAAATCACTCTCAACTCAGATCAACATTGTAGGGCAAAGCAGAACTGTCCTGTAATATTTCCTAGACTATCTCTGGTGACATAGTCCATAGGGAGTTGTGCTACTTAAGGCCACAGGCTGTGCTGTTATGATGGTTTGAATTCACCAGCTGCTGTGGGAGAAAGATGGGCAATGTCCTCCCGTGCAATTTGTTGTCTCAAAAAACTCACTGAAGGATAAGCTGTGAGTTGGTTCCTACTCAAAGATAATGAGTTGAACTTAAGTTAATCTTTATAACTGTAGATCTATAGATCTTTTCTGTCTTGGAGCTGCCAGTAGCTTTGAACTGCTGACCTCTTGAAATAAGCGGAAAAGATGATTAGGATCTTAATAGAAAAATTAAAGAATAGGATTCAGAACAAAATAATATCTGCTTCAGACACCACCTTAATTAGTGTGAAGCTCTGGTGACTTAATCATAAGGAGTTGTCTTGACAGCCTAAAGGCTCAGGGATCAAATCCACCAGCTGCTCATGGAAGAAAGACTGGCAAGTCTCACTTTGTGTCATTTATAGCCTCTGAAAACCCACCAGGAGGTCAGCTATGAGTAAGCTCTGACTTGATAGCATATAATATCAACAACAACAAAATGAGTAAGCCTCAAAGACTTTCTGACTTCTAAGAAGGTCTCATGGTTAGGAACTCAAATATCTATGAGATTTTTTAAAATTGATATTTTAATGAAAGTATATAAAGAATTTGGATTTCCATTCATTTATTGTTGCACATTTTCCTCCCTGCCTCCCATCCTTCCTCCTTCACCACCCCCTGACCCCAGTTCGCTTTTTTCTTTGGAAAAAAAGTTCTTTCATTATTATACAGCTCCCCTTCCACCCAGGACCACTTTACTGTGCAGCTCTTTTTCTGGGCCCTTGCCATGCCAATAATAACTAATCATACATTCCTTTTAAGCAGTTCTCTCCCTCGTTTGTTTCAATGACATGTACATTATTTATCCCCTCTTTTCTTAATTTCCCCCAACACCCCGTGTCAGTCCTGTTTTATAACAGTGATATTATGCAGTATTTGTCTTTTTGTGACTGAAATATTTCGTTCAGCATAATGTCCTCCATCGTCACCCATTTTGCATACATAACAGTTCATGAATTCTTTGTTTTTAGTGCTGCATAATATTTCACTGTGTGAATATACCAGAGTTTCTCTATCCATTTGTTTGTTGATGGTTACTTGGGTTATTTCCAACTCTTTGTTACTGTGAACAAAGCAGCAATAAACAAGGGTGTGTGCATATATCTGCCTGGGTTGCAGTTCTGGTTTATTTAGGGTATATTCCCAGTAGTGGAATTGCTGGGTCAAATGGCATTTCTATTTCCAACTTTTTGAGAAAGCACCATACTGCCTTCCACAGTGGTTGCACCATTTTACACTCCCACCTACAGTGAATAAGGGTTCAAGTTTCTCCACAACCTCACCAGCATTTGTTGTTTGCTGCTCTGTTGAATTTTGCTATTCTTACTGGGGTGAGGTGATATCTCATAGTTGTTTTGATTTGCATGTCTCTTAGAGCTAGGAATTTTGAAGACTTCTTCATGCGTTCACCATCTGAATGTCTTCTTTGGTGAAGTGTCTGTTCATAACCTGTGCCCATTTTGCAATTGGGTTGTTTGCCTTTATCTTGCTGTGGTGTTCGAGTATTCTATAAATTCTAGATATAAGTCCCTTATCAGACATGTCATTATCAAATATATTTTCCCAGTCTGTGGCTTCCCTTTTTACCCTGTTAAAGAAGTTTTTGGATATGCATAGGGATTTGATTCTTAGAAGGTCCCACTCATCTACTTTATTCTCTCCTGGTTGTAGGTTTTTCAGGATGTTTGGAAGACTGTTCACGTTGTGGATTAGGGCTTCTAGGGTTCTTTCAAGCTTTTCTCTAATGAAGTTTATAGTCCTTGGTCTTAGTCCTAGGCCCTTGAGCCATTTTGAATTGGTTTTTGTCTATAGTGTGAGGTGTGGGTCTTGTTTGAGTTTTCTGCAGATAGTTTTCCAATTTTGCCAACGTAAATAATTAGTGAAATACCTCTACTGCTCAAATACAATTCACTGTAGGATTTACTTTTTCAACTTTCTACATTCACAAAGACTCACAATTGCATATTTGTGTTCCCAAAAGAAATGAATAAGATCTAGGAATTTGGCCAATTATAACCAGTATCATAATGCACAATTTTCATTGTCTATGTGCAAAAATGTAGGCTTGAGCTGGAGAATGGAATTATGATTTATAGGAACATCAGCTAATCAGAAGAGCTAACATTTATCGAGTCCTTCATGGAGGCCTGGAACTTTACTAGCATTTGACATTCATTATCTTGCTTAATCCTTGTCATCTATAAGATCTCAAATTTTAAAAATAAAAAAGATGAAGATTAGAGAAGTTAAGAAATTTGCTTGAATGCATAACTGAGTAGAGGGACAATTCAGACCAAAATATAACTATGATACCAGATAGTGCAGCCTCTTCCATATCTACTGCTGAGAGGGAGAAGAGTCAGAAATGTTGTGGGCATGGAACCTGACAAACTTTAGCAGAGGAAGTCAAAATGCCTCTTCTTTTTAGAACGCAGGACATTTCCCATTACATATAAGGCCA